CTCAGAACATATTATTATCCTAGTCTCAGGAGGATTAAGAAATACCTTGATAAACAGCTAATTTTATGAAATAAAAAGCTTTTGGCACATTCCCAGAAAAGTAATCACTCCCATCTGGATCCCAAAAATTTGCAAAGGGTCTCTGACTTCAAATGAAAACAAGCAAATATTTAATAGAAACTCTTTCTTTTGTTGTTCCAGCAGGTACAATAAAGTAAAACTGAAGAGACCAAAAACAAATATATGACACAAATACATATGACCTATAGACCAGGAACACATTCACAAAGAGTAGATGTGTGTGATAAGTAGAAAAACCAATCTTGGGGCCATTCCTCCACAGATAAAACTCAAAGGATATGAAAAAAAGTCTTCAACTCCTAACAACCATATGAAAGAATGCTCAATGTCACTGATGAGAGAAATGCAGATCACCACAACTATGCAGTTTTACCTCATACCCAGAAAATATGCAAAGAGGACAAGATAGGAATAATACATGTTGGAGGCTGCAGAAAAAGAGGCACAATAATGTGCTGTTGATGGAACTGTAAATTGGTCCAAATGTTTTAAAAGGCAATTTGGAATCATGCAAAGAAAGGAACTAAAATGTTCTTACCCTATAATCCATAGATTCCAATGTTAGACACATACACCAAAAATAACAGAAAAAAGGCTCCATATACATCAAAATATTTATAGCAGTACTTTTTATAGCAGCAAAGAACTGGAAACAAAATAGACAGTAGCTGCCCATCTTGGAATGGCCAAACACACTGTGGTACACTAATGTATTGCAAAATTACTGTTATAAGAAATGAATACTATGATGAGTACAGAGAAGTATGGAATGACTCATAGGAATTGATGCAAAGTTAATGAATGAATATCAAAGTATTTATTAAAAACACTTTCTATGTGCCAAGTACTCTGCTAAGTACTAGGGATAGAAGTAGAAAAAGTCAGATAGTCCTTGCTCTCAGAGGAGGAGATAACACATAACAGAATTCAACTGCAGGGTGGATGGAAAGATCCAGAAATCCTAAGGATGCATGAGTGGGGCAGATGGCAAAGCCTATGGGTCTTATGGGTGCCAATGGGAGTTCAGATGGGATTGCTTAGAGGTCTGGTGGGAGAGCAGCAGGGTAAATGGTGATATCCATGCATAGTGGGGCAATGAATGGTAAGGCCTGTATGTCAACCAAAGGTAGAAGATGGTGAGCTCCAGCTCATCCAAGCACAGTGAGCAGCTGTGTCATTCTTCTTGCCTGGTGCTCCACAGAATCTGGGCAGCCCAAGGAGACAAGGGAAAGGCATGAACTGTAACCTTATCTATGGGTTTTTATACTAACCAATCAGAGGGTTGCAATAGGTGAGTACACTAATTTTTCTATTGCCATTGTATCTGGGTACCATATTTCCCAGATATTTCATGAAGACTGAAGTACCCTGACAAGGACTGTAAGAAAGGTTACCTGTGTGGTGAGCAACATATTTCAAAAATATTCCCTCTCAGTGAAACAGCACAGAATAACATCTCCATACCATAAAAGAATTTAATATGAAAACTGACTGGGTAATTATAGTTATTATCACATACAATTACAATAGGTAATTATATCACATTAGCTATTGTACTAGAGCAAATCTAGAAAACTGTGCATAGTCTGATATCATCTATTATCTAGAGATGCCCCAGAATAGGCAGTGCAGTATAATGGATTGGGCTTGAAACAAAGCTTTTCACAGCTAACTTCACCAAACCTCTGTGAGCTTCAGGTAACTTATCTGCGAAGTGGGAAGGATCATACTTTCACTATGTAGCACACAGGATTACTATAAGAAAAGTGTTTTTGCTATAAAGCAATAATAGCAGTTCATTTATACAATGATCGGGGAAGTGATTCCAGAACACTCTCTGTAAGCCATTCTTTATTCTTCGATCAACCTGTACCATACCTCCAACCTAAAATCTCACTGGAGTTGCAGTCTTGTCATAACTAACAAAAGTCTCTCACTGTAGCATTTCTTTATAAGTAATGGCAGCAGGGAGATGAAGGTATTGAGGTATTATGCTCCCAGTGGCAAGGTGTAAACCTCATTAATGCTTGTTGGCTCAAAGTAAAAATACAGGAAAGGGAAAGCTCCAGGGAGGATTCATAATGTTGGTTCATTCTCTTTCCTGGACCAGAGTTAAAGATCCATTTCCTTATATTTATGCATTCTTTTCTTTCTAAAAGTTGCCCTCATCTGGCCTAAAATTTCTAACCCCTAATTCCACTCTCTGACAACAACCTCCTACTGTTTACCTTTCAGTCTCATGGTTCATCTTTCTTCTCCCAACCCATCTTCCTATTCCCAAACAGCTTCACTTGTAAAGTGGTCAGTCATTTGAATGTTTACTGCCTACTACCCTAAAGTTCTTTGACCTTGATAGTCTCCCTTCCACACCCCACTCCTCTACTCACACACTTTTTGCCAGGCTCAAAAGCCAAATTCTCATCCCTGGGTAACCCCCTACTATTCAATGTTTCTATTGCTAAGTAGCTTCTGAGTATTGCTGGAAAAAACGAGTCAATTTTACCTGTGCCAAGTTCTTGACACATAACTTCAACTGGGCCCTAACTTATTGGTGTGATAGACAAACCACTAGATTTGGTGTCAGATAGACCTGGGTTCAAATTCCATCTTGGCCACTTAATTGCTTTGTGACCCTATCAAATTATTTAATGTCTGAGCTTCAGTTTCCTTTTCCATAAAATGAGAGTTGGAACCTATGACCTCTCAAGTCCCTTCCAGTTTTAAATTTATGATACTATGATCTACAATGCTAAACAATCCTTCTCTTCTAAATTTTATCAACTCCTGAAGTCCACTCTTCACAAAGACTGCATTAAACTTTTTTTTTTTAATGGGAGCAGAGGAGTAGATGAAGTTGGAGGGGGGTAAGCACCAATGACTGCACTGGTATAGAGAATTCTTGATGAGGAAACTAATTCTTTCAATGAATACTGTGACAATGTCACAAAAATATTATCCTATTTTTTAAATGAGACATAAAAAACACAAGTAAAACCAGTGAAAATGAATTTGGTTTCTACTTTATGGCTATTATATCAGAATAAAAGTATTTGAGGAAGAAATGAGGGAAAAACTGGAAACAGATGACCCTTAGCACAAGATCAATATGCCTTCATCTCAATTTTGTCCTGATCCTTGATATCAAACCAAACTATACCATACCATGCCATATCATACTTGTGATAACTTGGAGAGAGAATATGGGGTAGGTATATAAGGAAGTAAGATAAAATGTCAATGGTATGATAGAACACAAAATATTTGCTAGAGAAAAATCTGTATTTTATGCCCTAAAAAAAAAATCCCGAATATCAAAGCAGGAACAAAAGTTTCTTTTAAATTATTCTTAAATAAGGGAAAAAAGAAAAGTCAAACATTTAGAAATCCTATCTCCTCACTCCCTCCTTTCTTACAACTCCAAATGATTTTTTTTTACATCTTTCAATAAAAATACCACTGACAAATCTTCAGTCTGTTGCAATTTTGGGTAATGAAAACTATAAATTCTCAAAGGTGATGTTTATAATGACTGTTGATAGTCACTTTACAATAACAGTACTAGTGGGTACCTCTATTAAATAAACATACAATTTTGTTCTTTCTAAATTAAAAAGATCGACAGACTTTAAAAGTTGAGAAATGCTTGCAAAAAATTAAGCCAAATGGTAACTTAATCAAGGAACTTTAAAAAACACTTTGACATTGTGCTTGCATGAAATTCCTAAATGTTCTTTGTGCCACAGAGTGTTTCAGCAAGCTCCATCAAAACATAAACAAAAAACACATGACAGAAACACATGACAGTGTCCTAACCGATTAAAGTGCTTCTTGTTGGCATTAGAAAGCACTTAGCTCAAAGTAGTGGATTAGTGACAGACGAACTGTTCCATTACTACCAAGCACATCAAAGTCAGAATATAAATGCAAATATGTATTTAAAATATAATTTTTAAAAGTACAACTTCTTGGATAGGAACATGTATTCGAAGCACTCATTTTATGTGACTTAGAAAGCAAACTACTAAGGGTCAAATATTTTTATAATAATCAAAATTATATGTATTATGCCTTTGTAACAAGCCTGCAGAACCCAGTTTGTTATTTTAAGGTAAATGGATAAAAACTTCTAACACTTTTCCCTATGTCAAACATCTATGAAAATATCTTAACTCATAATCTAACTGATGAACAATATAGGACAACTTATCATCATGATCTCCAAGAACTCAACTCCTTTTATTTTTCTAAGTTATTTACCGAGTTATTTCCTAAGATACTAAAAAAAAAGAGGCTCTTTTGTGTATCTACTTCTGTATGCCTAAACGAGCAAACTGCACGAGTCTACAATGTTGTCATTTTGTTTTTTAAATAAAGAGCAACGAGAAACTAAGTTGCCCTGTAATTCATGGATCTGAAATCAAATGTTGCAGCTACTTCTATACACCTACTTCTTACTGACAATAGAAGATAATCTCCCTAAAAAGCCAATGAAAGGGTATACAAATTAGTATGGGATCAGAAATCCCCCCCCAAAATGCTAAAAATTAGGAATGGCATTCAGTACCTTATCCAGTATGCTTATAAGTTTGTACTTATCGGTAATAATTGCTAGCATATGCATCATGAATTTACACTGATAGGCATAAAGAGCAAGGAAATGCTTTAAAAATTTGATGCTATAATGTATATATTTCATATCCTTCCCTACTGTCCACTAAGCACGACGGGGAGGGTAGTAACTGTCATAGTATTATTAATGACAATAAGGTTACATTTTCCATTGTCATGGAAGTTCTCATATTTATTACTGCACTAATGTCTTTAGGCAACATGTACTTATTTAGAGTGCCACAAGACAGAGGAGTCAATCTTATCCATTAGTACAAAAGCATTCACTTTAGAGAGCAAACTCTTCTTACCTGTTTATCTTTTGGATTCTGGCCTGTGGGACTCTTGCTGTCTTTGCTTTCGTCCACTCCTCTGAGAACACTAATGAAATCCTTCTTGGTGACAGTTGACATCAACTTTGCACGTTTTCTCACAGAACCTCCAACTTCTTTCATTTTTTCATCAACATTCTTCTGGTGCTTCCGAACAGCATTGAATAACTGCACCACACCCCTGTGGATTAGGCAATCCCCCCATTCTAATTAAGTAATAATAAAAGGCAATTACAACCAGAAAACTGTACTTGGGTGTATTTTCTTTTTTTTAAATTCTAGCTACCATTTTTTCCAAGTCAAAATCTGATGCTGTTAAAAATGAAAATCACTATTAGGATCAATTATGTGGTTTTCAAAGTATAAACATTATGCTGGAATTTAATTTGTATGTTAACATTAGGCTATTCATTATCAACAGTAAATGAAGAGTTATGTAATATTTCAATGGGTCTGTGACTTTCTAGACATGGATATTCTCTATACCAAAGTCAATCACAAACCCCATGTCATTCTTAGTGATTCTTGTCAATATTTTTCCATTTTGTTTAAGGTCTTTCTCTAGATATTTTTTATATTTTATGGCAAACAGATATGTCTATCTATTTACCTGCTTATACCATATGACCAAAGACCAACCTCCCACTCCAATGTTCTCCAGTAGGGTTGCTTAGGAGAACCCATGTACAATTTGATAAGTCTTTCCAATCCACTTACTATGATTACAGAGCTCAGACTTTTGTCAGAAGTGGACACCTCTCATTTAACTAGACAACCTCCTAGCCCCTTGCTGAGACTTTTAGAATAGAGTTTTGGAAATGGGAGGAGTAAGAAATTTACCTCCCCATTCCAACACCTAAGGTGACTTAGAGCAAAAGCACATGGCCATGGTAGACATGGTTAGCCACAGAAAAGAGATATTAGAGTTTCTCGGACCTTGAGTTCCAGCTACCTTTCTGTTTCCTTTTCTAAGTGATGTCAGTGATGAGAGTCATTGAGAAATGGACTTTTTTAGTCTTGGAATGGATACCTAATGGACAGTCCTGAGTCCAAGAGCTGGGCACCAGACAACTGGAGGGAAAAAACCTTCCAGAACAGCATACTTTAAGGAGGATTCTATAGCTGAAGGGCTGCCATGCATGGGCAAGAGATCTGGACCCTGCCAACCCTCCATGAAAAATTAACATAGATTGCTCAGATTGTTATGAGGTGAATAAAAAATACCTGTTCAGTAGTCCTACAAGGGTCTCTAATTTCTGGAGAGCTAGATACAAGACTATTCAAGTGTTTTATATCTCTGTATGTCTTGCTCCCCTTTGACCCTTTTTGTCTTATACATTTTCTCTGGTTGAGGAATTGGTCCATTCCCAATAAGCCTATCATACACTGTGTACCTTTATAAGAAAAGAGACTCATGTGTCATCCACACGTGAGTCATACATCTATAAGCTTTTCTTTAGAGATTTTCCTGGAGAAATCCTGATGAGACATTAACAAGCAAGAAAAATTAAACCATTTTGGGTCAGGTCCCCAGAATTGAATCTAGTCTGTGTGAGCCAGTCACCTGAGAGGATGAGGATGGGTAGGTCTGAACCATGGGGTAAAACACATTTCCTCACTGGTTTCCTACATACAACTTGTTGAGCAAAGTCTTTATTAAATATGTGCTTCAGCTTATTTAAGTCAACCACGAATTTCTGCACCATCCTTTAGGCCATCTCCAACTTTAAGCCTTTGGAAGTTGTAATAATACAAAATTCACAACTTTAGAGCATCACAGGGGACACCTGTTTCAAAAAGATGAGTCTTCACAATTTCAAAGAAATAAATGTGGTCTGTAGTTTAAAGTGCTTGTTTAAATTTTAACTTAAATGTCTTTTTTTTCCCCACTTGAGTGTTTTTATTTCTTTTTCTGATGTCAATGAAATCATTTTTTATAAATCATTTCTGAGGATTCTTCTTACTGGGTCAATCTGTGTCCAAGGGAAATGAGCTGCCACTGCTGCAATGGATCACTTCAGTTACTATTTATGTCATCAATTCCACATCCATAGTAAGTCTTGTATTCACTCCCTTCTCTCTATCCAACTGGTTACTACTCTACTTTGGGTTCTCATCACCTCTCACCTATACTATTAGGCTAATAGGCTCCTAATTGGTCTTGCTATCTCATGTTGCCACCTTTTCCAAACTATATTCCATACAACTTTCCAAGTGATTTTTTCATAAAGCAAAGGTTTGACCATGCCACTTTCTCCTATTCAAAAAACCCTAATGGCTCCCTATTATCTCTAATTCTTGGAATGAATTCCCTCCTCAATGGTTTCTTCCTTCAAGACACAAACTCCATCTTCCATATGAAGCTTTTCTGATCCTCCTCCCCACACACCTTGCTCGTGCCCTCTCCCTCTCAGTACTTTGTATTTAACTACTGTACGTGCATTTGTAATCTTTTTTTACATTCATTCTGTCTATACTATATATGTCTTTGTGGTTTCCCCTGTTATAAATGGAAATGGTTAGCCTGACCACTTTCTCAACATGGAGGTTTTGTGAGGAATTTACCAACTGGAGGAAGTAGTCACAGGAATCTTCTTGATATTCAGAGATTCAGGAGCAGAGCAGGATAACTACATATTATTCCATTTATGTAAATTATTGTCTAGCCAATCCTCCAGCCTTCTTTCTACTCACACACGACATTCTAAGTCTCATCTTCTCATCTTCATGCCCTTGCAGAGAGTATCCTCCACGCACAGACGGCATTCCTTGCTCACCTCCACCTCTCAGAATCCCAAGTTTCCTTTAAAGCTCAGCTCCAGCTGCACTTTCTTTGTGAGGTCTTTCCTGATCCTTCCAGATGACAACATCTTCACTTCACTTTCACACTGCCTGGATATTTATTTTGTTTATATTTATGACACACATGTTGTCTCTTGCATAGAAAATTAAGTTCCAAGAGGGCAGGTAATACCTTCTTTTGTGGTTGCTATTTCTCCAGTTTCACAAATACTTGGTGTTTAATAAATGCTTGTTGGCTGACTGATGGCCCAAAAAAAAAAATCTCTATTTACAAACAAGGCATGGAGAAAGAAAAAGGAGGGAAATCTTTTCCTCAAAAAAGAAAAAAAAAATTTCAACAGTTCCATGAATGAATAAATGGAAGGAAAAAGCATTTCATCATTATAGATTCCAGCTCCACTCTAGCACAAATCACAATCCGTCCACGACCCCTTCTTATCTTGTGCCATTATCACCCATGTCATCATATAAATCTTTCAAAGGCTGATTCTAATGCCCCAAAGGATGCACTATATTTATTTAATAGTATGTCCAGGATATGAGGACAGCCCTAGAGATCATTCATCTGTTACTCTTGACTCATTATTCATCCATTCATCCATTCCTCCATTTACTCTATACAATTGGTCTATGACCTTTTCCAGTAATATCTACTCAATGAGGTATTTTGCCTCAGTTTTCATGTACAAACCACTGTTGGTACCATTCTGTAAACTACTTACATTTACCACATGCCTTTTGGTTTTCCCAATGTCTGCAATTCTCAATCATTTCCAGATTTGACATGATTCTTTTAATCAGAGAATTAACAAAGGAAATACAAGAGTTAAAAATGGGACTTCTGCAGCAGCAGGTCAGCCCAAGTAGTATGTACGTTTTGTAGAGGTAGCTACGTGGTGCAAAAGATAGAGTTCTAGACCTGGAGTCAGAAAGACCTGCAATCAAATCTAGCTTCAGGAATTTTTTTTTAAACAAAAACAAAAACAAAAAAAAATCTAGCCTCAGAAATTTACTATCTGTGAGACCATGAGCAAGTCACTTAACCTCTGTTGTTTCCTAATCTGTAAAATGGTGATAATAATCACACCTAACTAGCACTGTTATCATGAGGATCAAATGCGATAATATTTGTAAGTGCTTAACACAACGCTTGACATAGTAGACACTACAAATATGATGACTTTCTTCTCTTCCCCTCCTACCCTTTCCCTTGTCATAAACATAATCCATAACAATAACTAGCGTGAATTATAACAAGATTGAGATTAATAAAAATGGTAGGCATTTTCCCCAACATAATGCAACCTAAGCTTCTCTTCCTGCTACTTATTCAATTCTTGGCCCAGCAATCTAACAACTTATAGAACTTAACCTATATACTAATGGTTACCCATCCAACCACACATCATAATCTAGACTATACGTATTCTTCATCTATGCTAAGTGACAAGAGATTTCACTACAGTGGCTGTCACACAATCATTTATCATTTGAGCACATGCATGGGAGACATTTTGGTTGAGGAGATCCTTTAAAGATGCACCAAATCAATTTTTTAGAAGTAAAAATTAAATAAACACAGCAAGACCTCATGTTCTCCATACGTCTTAGCATTGTGACTCTGTCTGTTGAAGCCTTTCTATTCTCTTCTCATGTTTTCACTGAGGATATCCTTAATGTATATATAGATCACTTTAAAAGATTTTATTAAGATGAGAAAGTATGCATAAAGCCTGGTGTCTTCTTTGCCATTTTGGGGAGGGGGAGAAGTAAAAAGGAAGCACAATTTCTGTCTTCTTTTTCACTCTTAAAATTGGGCTTAAGAAATCTAGAAAACTATGTCCTTAAAACTGGGTCTCCTGCAGAATAGATTTCTTTGGTATGTGGGTGTCCCTTTCCAGCCACTCATCTTAGGTGTCACTGACCTACTGGATCAGGTACTGAGATAGTAGAATAAAAATGTAGTGGTTGTACTATTATCACTGATGAGATAGATGACTGAGATGTTGGCAGATCTGTTCGAATTACTGTCTCTTTCTTATCCTCAATTCAACCCTCCTTTCAGTTTCATCTATAAAAACTCTTGTGATGAGGTCTCACATCAACCTCCTGGCGGACTCATAGTCCCCATAACCACTTTTTTACCTTTTTTAGCATGAGAAGATACAATCTGTTAGTCTCCTCTGCAACATTTTACAAAAAAAAAAAAGTTAGTTTCTACATTTGAATTGACCTGCCATGTGTTTGGCAAGGAAATGTGTTTGCTGACTGAAATAGTTTTTGAGAACAGCCTCCTTCTTGTGATTTCTGTATGGCATTGTTAAATTTCTCTAAGAAACTGTGATGGTCAGTAGTCATCTTTTTGGCCATTTCTCAATCCTCAGTTGATAGCTGGTTTAATCAGACTGGGTGCAACATAATTTTATGAGTTATCATCATCTCATGTTTATCCTTTTTCTCCCTGTTTTGTTATTGATTTTGAACTCTGTTCGAACTAGTAAGCAGTTTGACTACACAGAAACAGCTGATTCTGAAATTACTACTGAGTAACCAGATGTCTCATTATTTTTATTTTTTTTATAATTTTCTTGCTTAGCTTCTCTGAATTCTTTTTCAAGACAGTATTCATGACACAAAGTATATTCACGCTTCTGAGTAATCTACAAGCTTTTAGACTTTTTCATTTTTTTATTCTAAAAACTGTATTTTTAACACTATTTTATACCATCCTCTCTTGTCTCTATCTTCACAATGAAGTTACCAAGTATCAAATTAATGATAACTTAAGTTTGGAGGATATTACTAAGTTCTTAACTTCTGATGTATAAGTTAAAATTATATTTATGGTGACCTCTTTGTTTTCACTCCTCATAAGCACTGCATGAGAAAGGCAATGTAGTGTATCACTGAGAACAGGACTGAGTTGGCAGACTAAGGTTTGATTTACCACTCTGACACTTATTAGATATGTACCCCAGTTTTCTCATCTATGAAACGGAGTTAATAATAATTCATTACCTTTCAAGCAGATGTGTTTTAAGAAAAGTCTTTGTAATTCTGCAAACCTAAAAGTGCTGAAATATTACCCCAAGGCAAAAATGGTTGAGTAATTATCTCATTAAAAGATGTTTCTTTTCAGATGCACAATAAAACCAACTTTGCCAATTCAGTTGCCTGTACAAGAAGAACCTGTGAGTAGCCCTTCCATTTAGTGGCAACTTCCAAGTCTGGCTTCACTTAGAGCAAGCATCAATATGGGTGTTCTACACACAATGTGAGGAGTAGAACCCTGGCCCTACTATTAATCTTAAATAAATTGCTGAAACTTTCTGGGCCTCAGTTTTCTTCAGATATAAAATGAAGAGTTTCAAAGAGATGAACTCTAAAGTTCTAACCAGTCTTAAAGGGTCCATGAGAAAGGTGACTCTCACTTGTATTAAAATAATTGTCATTATACCCACAATAAAATAATAAAAAGTATGTGCTTACTATGAACATAATCCACAGAAAAAAGATGAGTAGTATGAATTTGGTGATCCATTTCAAGAGAAGAAAACATGATAAAAAGTAAAAGATCATTTACGCAAGTGAGCACTAAGCAAATTATATATTCTTGTCTAAACTCTAATATTTTCATAAGACTTAAGAAATCTTTGGTTAAATCCAGTACCAAATAAACAGACATATGTATAAATCATTTGGTTCCTGGTAGTCACTTGTTAAGAGTTAAATCTAATTAGAAACCGGTTACCTGCCCTAGTTTTTATATATCTATTTTTAAAAAGCACGAAAACATTTTCTTACCTCGTAGCAATTCTCTGAAGATTTCTCTCTACTTCTTTGTCTTTGACAACATCTGGCTTCACTCTGCACATCATTTCCCATTCCCTCTTCTTATCAAGCTGTGTTATAAATATTGTTATGTGAAAGAACATTAGACATTTTTGAAAGTGTAGCATACTTTGATATGATACTCTGAAAAGGGACAAGGGTAATAAATCACTTTGGCTTAGTTTGCTGCTGAGGTTTTAAAAAACTGCATTTTTAGGGATTCAGCTCACAAGGCCTGTGGTAAGCACTCAGCTGTGTCACACAAAGACCTCAAGTGAGTTTCTATCAGGGCCTTTGCCTCTTTGGACAGCAGGGGCCTGGAAGGTTGCCAGTATATTCAGCCATGCAAGGCAGAGCAGGGTGTGAGGTAGGTACCCCACATCAACTCAGCAGCCCTCTGGATGATCTGAGAACAGGGCACCTATATCTACTAGAGGATCAAGAGTCATACTCTTCATCAAAGTTTTAAATAAAACATAATTATAAGTATGTACAAAAAGGACTTAAGGTGGGATACTTAACCTGTGTCCACGAGTTGGCTTGCTTTAACCCCAATATTTTGATAACTGTATTTTAACATAATTGAGTTCCTTTGTAATCCTACTATTATATGCATTTAATAACATTATTCTGAGAAAGGGTCTGTAGTTTTCACCAGACTGCCCAAAAGGTTCATACCACAATGAAGGGTAAAAACTCCAGCCTAGACATTCATCAAAATTCAGAATCATAAGTACTTTACAACTGTGAAAAACTGAAGTGGATCTGGTATTTCTGACTTGAAAGTTCACGTCAACAATGCAGATTATAACACACCCACGCTTGCTCATCCTGTGAGACTTCTGTCTCCTCCTATAAGTTTACCACAAAGAGATCCTTCTATGTTCCAGAGACCTTTACTAATTCCTTCTGACATCACAAGGGTGCCATTGGGAACTTCTGGTTGTCCAAATCTCCTCTTTGCCCTCACAAGGTGAAAAGTCAATCTTCTCTTGTCATACATTTCCCTCATGATATCACTGGCTTCTTATTCTTCAGCAACTGTTATGTCTCGGCCTGCTCACCTCCCCATTATCCTGTATGATATTCACTTAAAAATTCTTCATAACCAACTATATTCTTTGTCTTATGGTCATATAGTAGTATAGCAAGAATGCTAGTATTAAAAAGATAGGATTTTGTTTCTATGGCAACCTGGGTTCACTAAAGGATTTTGCAATATCCTATAGGCAATCTAGCCTCCTCTTGTTCAACCCTGGCTCCAACTTGTTGTCCATCTGTACTGTCTGTCTTAGATATATATCCTGATGGACAAGCTCTATAGGCTGCCCAACCAAATGTATGTCATCATCTGGTCAATAGTATTTCTTCATCCACTTAAGTCTTTCTTATGTGGATAATAAGGCCCAACTCTTTTGAATTGTTATATCTCTCTTTCAGGAAAATTTGCAGCATTCCAGTGTTCCAGTTGATGCACCAGTACAAGGTTATTCAAAACAGAAGCATCTGAAGGACCTCACATCCACAGCAAAACCTTTTTCAACCAGAACTCTACACTAAATTTCCATTACAACATCAAGGTGGCAAACATTTTTGGCAAGTATACCTCTCCCTATCTGCCTGATTTCTCTCCGAAGTAATGCATACTAATTCCCCACCCCCATCCCAATTACATAGTATCCCACTTAACTGACATATAGCATTCCATGATACAACCAAATTTCAACCATCTGCCTTGATGAAGGGAACAAAGACCTGGATGGGTCAAAAATCAAATGTACTTTACTTTGTACTGTTTTTCAAATGGATAAAACTCTGGAAACTTAAGACATTTTACATTTAAAACTAAGCCACCCTTTATAAATTAAACTAAGACAAAGATAGAAAGGCCCTTCAGGCTTCTCCACCTTGTCCCCAGTTTTGGAGATCAATTATTCTATTTCCATGATGAGAATAAACGAATCTTTTAACAATACAAAGCACATAGCAAAAGAAGGGCTGTCTGTCTCTCATTCTTTTAACCTTGAAAACTTTCAAGCTGTTCTCACCCTCGATGGAATTTGAGGTAATGATGGATTCTGATATAAAACAAAACAAACCAACACAATGTTCTTCCAGCTGACAGGCAAGATGAGATTCAGATTCTACTCCCTTCAGCAAGAATGTAAAAGCAAAATTTGTTTGGAAAAAAAAAAAACTATAGTGAAGACGAGCCCATGGTTGTGTCTAACAGAATAACAAATTCAGAGTAGCCTCTGTATGTAAGATGTAAGAGTTCTGCCACTATAGTCTCTCAAATACAGCAATTGGTATTATAAACATAATATGGCAAAGGGCCAGACACTTTACCAAGGCATTGAGGTTCTGAGTGACCCTGTGAACTTTCTAATTTTCTTTTGTCTTTAAAATATACAGCTTTCTTTGTAATAGCCCTTTACATTACCATAAGGAGACTCTTTACATAATTCCAATACAACAGTGCAAAGCTGTCTTTCCTCAATAGAAAACTAGTAGCATCTTTTGGAAAATTCAGTATTTTACATGGTCAACTATCATCAAGTATGAAAGAGATTTTTAAAAATCTTCATAAAACTATGGTGTATTTATAATAGCCACTGGAATATAAATTCATGAGTTTATGACCTAGTTTTGGCCTCTGATCAAAGAACTACATTTTTTTAAACTTCTACTGGCATTGATGTAATGAAAGGCAGACTCTGTCCAAGTTTATCTAGCAGTGAACAAGTCAAGTTAACAAAATTGCAAGCCACCTTTGATTTGTGGGACCTCACATATTAATCTTACAAAACACATTTTCAACTCAAGAGAATAACCAACCTGCTATCCCTTGGAATACACAGTGAATTCAAAAGGCCATTTCATAATCAAGTTCAGGAAACATATGCACAGCTCAATGAATAACTTATTTATTGCCAGGAACTAAAATTTTAGCTCTAAACTGGGTCATTTATATGTTTATAAACTTAAAACTAACAAATTTCAAGTTTTCTTGGACTTTTTTTTTAATCTTGAAGGAGATTTTAAAAAAAAACCCAACATGATCAACAGGGTAATTTAGTTGCATTCAAAACTGTGTTTACCAAGTAAGTAAAAACTATAACGTCAATTAGACAAACATTGTAAGAAATAATTTGGTACTGATAAGAAATGAAGTAGACATAATTTAATGTACATGACAGCTGTAAGACATACCTGTTTTCTTTTCTCCAGTCTCTCTTGTTTTTCTTTCTCTTTTTCCTTCTCCAGCTCTTTGTTTTTGATAAGGATAGTAGGTTTACTTTTAGGAGTTTTTTTGTTAAGAATCTTAGCCATGGCATTTGCCCAGCCTGCATTAGTCCCAACATTAGAGTCTGCTGCACTTTCATTTTCTTTGTCATAAGCTATGGTATCATCTTCATTATCACCTTCAATTGCTTCATCAGAAGAAAAATGGTCTTTGGCAACTTCCCAACTTCCTACAGAACCTTAAAAGAGAAGAAAACATACTAAACATTGATGTCCTATGTAAAGACTCAAGGAATGTAGTCCATTATGAAAGGCATTTGGAAGCAGACAGTCTAAGTTCAAGATCAGAAATCTCTGAGCAGCTGTGGAAAATCAGCTATACCCCCTGAAGTTGTCTTGTAATGGTTGAAAATGATAAAGCACAATTGAAAACAGTTAGATGCTAAATTTGTTAGATGAGGAAACTGTATTTCTGACCAGAGAAGGAAAATATTTTAGAGCAAACACATTTGCCAGGTATGCTTAAATTTGACTGTTTGTAATATACTATTCTCATCATGTTTGTTAAAATGGAGGTACTCCAGGGGTAGCTAGGTGGCGCAGTGGATAGAGCACCGGCCCTGAAGTCAGGAGGACCTGAGTTCAAATCCGGCTTCAGACCAAACACTTGACACGTACTAGCTGTGTGACCTTGGGCAAGTCACTTAACCCTGATTGCCTCACTTAAAAAAAAAAATAGAGGTACTTTAGATATAAGACTCTTCAACTTATTTTTTTTTCTGTAAACGTTATGAAAATTCATTCATTCGTTCATCTGACAACCATCAAGGGCTTGGTGAAGTTAAAAAAAAAAATTAAATCCCCTTTAGTTCCTGCCCTTGAGTTTTCAGCTTGGTAGGTAGATATATATGAAAATAAGAATGTGTGACAACCACTTAAGGTGAGCATAAAGTACTCTGAGATCAGATGAAGCAGAAATTGCTCCCCAGCTGGAGAACATTCTACTTCTGTTTATATTTGCCTAAGGATTTTAGTCTGAAATGAAATCTGGTAAGAGATTGGAAATGAAATCTGGTAACACTGATTAACATTTTGGTCATCATCTTGGAGCTGAAAAGGAGACTGGCATAATGAAAGGTAAGCCAGGGCTCTTTCCAAACCTTCTGTGTCACTAGCCAGCTCTTAACACTCTTGTACAGAGTCTTCATTCAACATCTCGTACCCAACACAGTAAGTTTTGATTTTTCTCTAAAACAAAAAGGACGTCTAAAAACTCTTCAACAAAGGTTTCTCTGTGCTATTAATCCTAACACCCCATATGAATATTAGTTAACTTCTGGTTTTATAAAACCATTCAGTTATGCTTTACTTTCCACAAGAAAACTACCCAGAGCCACTATCACAATGCCAAATTATAGCCAACTTACTAAAAAAGATACAAAATGATACTGTATATCTCTTTGGAAGTAGCAGAAGGAACACCGGACTTGAGTCAAAAGACTTGGCTCTAAGCTCTGCCACTTACTAGCTGTTCGACTTTAAGTAAATTACTTAATCTTTCTGGGACTCAGTTCCTTCATCTGTAAAATGGAAATAGAAGGTAGAGGGAGAGGAAGAGTCAAATGAGATAATTTCTAAAGTCCATCTCAGGTCTTTCTATGATTTTGAGTCTGGGCTTTATACCATGTACATGTATAAAAATCAGCAGTATCTTACTGATCCATATTTTCTTCATCTATTATAAATGGTGATACAGCATCTAACTAATATCTAATTCACAAAGTTAAAGTAGTTTTTGTTACAGCTATATACATGTATTAGTAATAATTACCAAATGCTAATGGCTTAAAATGGATATTACTAGAGAATAACTAAAATGACAGTAAATCCCATTAACCAGGGTTTTATTTTTAAGTTCTAGAATAAAAGATATTCATTTATTAACTTTTCGGTATGGAACCTTTTGGCATCATGCAGTTTTAGTCCTTGCTTAGAAATAATAATAAATCTCACAATCTACACTATAAAACTGCAATGAACCTTTTATTCCATCCATTCCCTCTAAAGGTACAGGGAGAAACCTTCTGTATAATTCTTACCAATGTACTCCTACAAATTCTCCTGGACACCATATGTAACATGAACTGTTCATGTATAAACCCTCAAATTACCTGACCAGCCCACATCTTTTTACAATTTTTTTCCTCACCTATATCACTTAATACCACTTTCTGCACACCGTTCATCGAAAATGTGCTGTGGGTGATGTGTCCACTGTGCATCTCTCCACTGCAATTCCAATTTTTCAGTGTTGGTGTTGTTCTAAAATGTGTAGCCATACAACCACACCAAAGGAACATTACTGTTAAAAAGAAGGATTTTTTTTTCCTCCCACTGGATAGTAGTTGGGCATCATTAAAAAGACTGCAATTTCCCAAGTTTAATCCAGCATGCTCCCACCCTTCCTACCATTCAATTTGGGGCAGTTTGCTGTCCAAATAAAGCACCTTTCCCAAAGGGTTTGTACCTCTGTACTCAATGGACTGACTCTAAAACTACATATTGTCATATCCTGGAAAATAAGCAGTTTTTACTCCATTTAGTTTTTCCCAGAGATCACTGGACTAATTTCCTTTGTATAATTGCAGATCTTATTGAAGAAACCCTGAGACATTCTGAGGCTTGATGCAATCAATATGTATCACCCTTAAACAGGTATATCATGAGGACTTCACCCTCTACAGAGAGATATGATTATCAAGGGGAACGCCGAACAAGGTATTTTACATGATATCAGCTAACACACATGGGGAATATACATCTCTCTGCTTTTTACCTAGGCAGATAATAATCTACCAAAAGAGAGTTGGAAGTTGCTGGGCTCTGTGAGCGCCAAACATCCCAATGCATGAATCTGACTATATCTCAATGACAAGAAAGGACCTGTTACTGATGTGAGAGCCCTATTAGAATTAGCTGTCTACACGCAATCAGACTATCAACTGGCAAGAGCAATAGTCAAGCTCAGCATCAAGTTAGGAGAAAGAACAAGGGTGAGAAGCAGCCATTGAACAGCTTCAACCTGACCTCTTCAAATGAAATGAGGGTCTTTTTTGGTGTATTTCATGGGGTAAATGCCCCAAAAGTTAATTATTTAGAGCAGGGGTGGGGAACCTGTGGCCTTGAGGCTGTAGGTTCTCCACTCCTGAAAAGGAAGCCTACTGGTGAGAAACCTTTCTGCAATGACTCTTAATTCACACGGACAAGTGAAATTCAAACACTATTTTTTCTACTAAGTACTTATGAATATAGTAAACTAAAGGCCACAATCTGCAGCTTAAGTATAAACATAAGGCTAACTAATTTGCTAATATTTATTTCCCACAGTCAAAGAGGACATTTTCCAGACAAGAAATAATCAAAAAGTAAATAGGTTTTTTCCCTTCTTCTTAAGTAGCAAGGTCAAGTGATCCATTAAGAGATCATGTTCATCATTTAAGGTATATTCTGGTGCCTCAAAGTAAAAAAAATCCCTGACAGTTTCTGGCAAAATGTTAAAACTACAACACTGACACCTAGTGTTTTGTCCTGATCAATTCACAAATGGACTCTGAATAAAAGTAGTCCTTTCCAGCTATACTGCAAAAGTTGCTTAATACTCAAGACTATATATCATCTAATGCTTAATTTCTCTCTCTTGCACCTTTCTCTTCCCCCATATCTTTACCCCTCCTCTCATCTCATTTTCTTCTTTCAAATCAAGGTTATTTATCTTTGAGACAATGTCTGGGACATTGTGCATAGCATACCCACTTATATGTTTCCACATTATACCCAAAACTTTATGATCACTCAACAGATCAAATAATGATGATGATGATATTGATAATAACTAAGATTTATAGAGCACTTACCATATGCCAGACACTGTGCTAAGCACTTTATAATTATTATCTTAATTGATCCTCACAACAACCCTGATAATAGGTACTATTATTATTCCAATTTACAGATAAGGAAACAGGCAAACAGAAGTGACTTGTAAGCTAGTAAGGGTCTGAGGCCTATTTTGAACTCAGGTCTTCCTGACTCCAAGCCCCATACTCTATCCTGTGCCACCTAGTTGCCCAATATTTCAATATTTGTAAACTAAAATCCTAGTCTGTGGCCATGAAGATACAAAGTAAGAAAGGTTTTGAGTACAGGCCAAGGAACAGAGAAACATGTCACTCATCTAAGGGCCAGCATAGTTATATTTGGAGAGCTCACCACTAGGCAGCTGAAAACTATATAACTGATTTTTCTACCATAGCAACTCAGTCTACAAAGACATAGAAGGTTTACAATCTGTGTTGGTAAACACTCTTACCTATGAAATCATAGATCCTTGAAATATTTCAGTATTTTCAAAAGCCTATTTTCCAATTCCATTGCCCCATACTCCCTATGTATACAATAATTAAACTATTTAGTTATAATATACATTGTATACAAACAACAGTTATTGTATATAATGACTAAATTATTGTTTCCTAAATAACATTTTTTTTTTCAAAAATGTGTTATTTAGATATAAATAGTTGCCTCTTGCCATCCATTTCTGGAAATTCCCCATATAAAAAATTAGGTCTATTTCCAGATGGGGGGGGGAAGAAGAGGAGAAGAAGAGAGGTTACAAACTAGAAAAGAAAATACGTATCTTCTACTTAAGCTCACTTCCTGAAAAAAGGATTTGTATCACATTTGTTACTCCTACAACTCTGAGCAAATATTGACAACAAGAAAAAGAAAAATGAAAAGTTTGTGCTTTGTTTTGTTTGTCTGTTTATTTATGGGGAGGAAAGTACAGAAAGAGGAAAAAGTCAATCATCTCCTCATGTCCCTGCCCTTACCTTATTTGGGTGCTGAGGAAGTTTCTTCAAGCCATTTCTGAAATGAATAGCAAGGAAAAGCGGGGACAGAGAGAGATAGTCTCAGACAAATAAACTAAGAGGGGAAGACACTGAGGTTTTGTCTGTAGAAAAAACGATTCACAAAGCAACAAGAAATTTCATTCTACTTTTCTCTGAAATTGTGTCATGGACCATCTTCACTGGCATTGCAAGAGACAGATAAACCTACTATCTAAACTAAGATTAAATGTTTTTCTAGCTTACATACTTTCTTTTAATCAGTTTTACCAGTTGTATTCTATTTAAACATAGGTTTGTACAAAACTAAACTAGAAAAACTAAACGAA